ATACACGCTATAAATCACAGCGATTCACAATTTCGATAACTTCGCTCTCGACGAGTGCAAAACACACACACACGTTGTGGCTCACTGGCACGAAACTAACGAAATCATAAATTACACGGAACTCAAAGTAACTACTGCTCTCTCTTCCTTTATATATCCCATGCTGGCTTTTATCTGCCAGGCTTATATACTAACCAGAAGGCATCTCGAACACACTCGGACTTACTTGATCATTCGAGAAACTCATCACGCATGTCACGTGATTTCCACTGTCGTAACAATAGTGTAATGCAGTTAGTGTTATTTGTAAACCTATTCAATTTACCACAATGTTTAAGCTTGTAAAAGCGTTAGAGGATTAAATAAGCTAATCTGTTATATTTACGTGGACTGGGTTTTGTATTATTTTCACCAGAAAATTTTAAATTGAAAAGGACCCACCAACAAAAGAATAACATCGCAATATAAGGCTTGCAAGTCATAATGTTTGTCTCTTTCACATTTTCTGAAATACGAATTAAATATAAATTTAATTTGATTGTACTCTAGTGTTAATTACTAGACAAACACTGTTTAGCATATTGTTTACTTTCAACTAAAGCAGTGAGTAGAAACATATTGTTTGTTTATTTTGGATAATCATGCAAAACTACACCTGTACCATTTGCTCTACCCGTCCCTAATTTTTTTTTTTTTGTTGTTGTTAGAGGGAGGATATCTAGTCAACAGCACCCACCATCACTCCTGATCTAATATAATCAAACAATCAGTTTGACTGTCATTCTTATTACATAACAATGACATAAAAGTGCGGAGATTGATTTTTTATTTTACTATTATCACTATTATTATTATTTTGCGGTAACAAAACGTGAACCATGGATCCTCTCATCCGCAATTCGGCACGTTAAGTACACGGCCATGTCCGTGAATAATTTTGTTAAAAAGAAAACTTAATTTGCCTCAGATACACATCTGTAGCACTTAGTTTGAAGTAATAAGTTTTCATGTATTAATGGAAAAACCCATAGAGGAAATGAAAAAGTCTGTAAACTAAAAACAAACGAACCAAAATTCTTATTAGTTATTCTACACTCTACTGAAAGTAATCAATGGTTTGAATTAAATGTCACTCTCATGCTACAGGCGGCGTTCTAAGTTTGAAGTGAAGAGAACAGATGTATTTATATAGCTTGGATATTTTGTTGTTTTACACTAAATAATTTACAGGTTTGTGAATTCATCACTTTAAATATTAAATTGAAAACTATCAATTTACCTAGTCAATAAAAATTAAAGTAGGAACCCAACTATTTTCTAGAATTTTTATACCATACGTTTCAAAGGTTACGAAAGAAAGGACTTACGGAGTACAATGTAGTAAGGATTCCTTTGTTTGGATATCAAGTTCTACCGTAGTCAACGGGACTCAAATTAAAACATTGCCCGGTCGGTTTGTCGTGGGTCTAGTGACTATTACGTAGCCACTTAGAAGTGTTTACTAGTACTATACGTCACGCCGGTAATAAAACACTTATTTTTAATGAATTGAGCAGTGAAACCCTTCACGTGATTAATAAGAACATAAATTGTAGCGAGGTGTTAATTTGTAACTCTTGCCAAAAAATGAATAAGTGAAATAAAGCAGATTGTTTTTATGCTATAGGCCTAATCAAACGGAATGTCAGGTGATCGTACAGCAGGACCTTCTGAAGCAAGTACTAGCGGAGGCCGCGGACGTAGCTCGGGTTCGTCATCTAGTCAAGATCGTGAAAAGGAGCCTAAACTAAATCCTAAAATGTCAAAAGCTCTCAGCACTAGTGTTAAAAGGTAAAAATAAAAGCCCCCCTTTTTTGTGGAACCAAGCGCTACTTCAATAACTGAAAAGTGTATAGAAATTTACAAACTAAAACCAGATTCATGGGATAGAACATTGGAAGGTTTAACTAATAATAACACAGGGATAGGTTATTGAGATATTTTAAAGTTTTGTTTTGAGGAAAGGGAGGGTAAGACTTTTACCAATCCCTTGGCTAATCTTGATCAATAAGAATTAAGACTCAATAAGAGGCCATCTTATTGAACTGGATTAGCCAGGGGATTGGTAAGATAAAGACTTTGGATTTCTTTGTTGTATTCTGAGGATAATAATAATAACAAACTTTAATATCCAAAAAGATAAGATATGCCCCAGTTGAGAGAGAATTTTAATTTTTAACAGGGTGAAGGACTTATGGAACAAATTAATGTGGGTAGTAATTGAAAGCAGCAGAGTACAGGAGTTTAAAACTCAACTGGGAAACAATAATTTCCTGAAGAATAAAGGATGGGTTTACTAAGTGTGGATGTGCAAGGACAGCCTTGAAAGACCAAATAGATCCTTATTGTCTATGTTACCGGGTTTTGAGTTGTACTTATAATATTATTATTGTTACCTACTTTGTTGTGAATATAGCTGAACAGATATTTTTATAGTATCAGAAATTCTTTTTCAGTTCTACTAAAATATTCTTCAAGTCAGTAAAGAAACCCATGACTTCTAAAGCTAAGATCATACTGTATTTGGAAAGTTTGTCACTTTAGAAGTTTTAAGTTTTTACATTAGCACTTCAACTTAAGATGTTACTAAAAACAAACAGAAAGAGACAGACTTATGGCTGAAACTGAAGGAAACTAGAAATGTTAAACACTAGTCTATTTTCAAGTTTTATTTCTTTGGAATACTTTAAAGCTAGCCTAGAAAGTGTTGAACTACAGAGAGAACTAAGGAAATTAGTTTTGAAAGAATTTCTTATAAAGATAAAGCATGAGTTAGTTTGTGTAAGTTTAAACCTATTTATGCTAAAATACCAGTAGACATGTATACATGATTGCTTTTAATGAGTTGTAAGTTATTCCAGGTAGAATTGTAACATCGCTGAGTTGTATATTAATTATTTGACACATACCAAAGTGTTCTGCATTTGTTCAGCTAGTTGACTAATCAAGGACTCTTTATAAAATCATATCCTCATCACAGCCAGCCACACCTAAAATTTTATATCAGAAAATTTAACAATTTCCCAGGTATGACTCTTAAAGATGGTAGTAGAAAAAGGGATAGACTAGATCAGTAGATGGGCTAAAAGGACCTGTTTTTCCTTTGAAAAGTAAAGGTAATTGTAATAGAAATTTCGTTAAAGGTTTGTTTTCAAGTTTTAAACAGTAATAAGCTTTAACAAAATGAATACTAATTAACGTGTGAGATTATACTGAACTTTGTACCATAGCTTAGAGCTGTGTATGATGACATCATTCAGGTTGTAACAGTGATGTGTTGTATGAAAATCAATGTTTTCTTTTGTAATATTGCCTGCTTTGTGTTACCTATTTTTAAACTGTTCAAAATGAATATTGTGAAGAGATACAGTGCAGAAGCTACCCTTCAAATTTTGTTATCTAAACTAATTCAGTGAGATTCAATGACATTGTGTACATGAAATTGAAGGTTTTGAAAAAGGATAAATATTTGTTGTTTTTTTGTTAATTGTTGTTTAACAGGATCCAAAAAGAACTAGCAGAGATTACTTTGGATCCACCTCCTAACTGCAGGTAAGAATTACTTGATTTCTCACTAGTTAAAAATACTTTATGCATATTTTTCCAATTTTGTTAAGTATTTATAACCCAGAGTTAATTTTATAGGTCTATTAGTTTAACATCAGTGGCAGGAAAAGTTTTTCTCTGATAAAAGATGTCTTGCAAAGTAGTTTAATAAAGTTTAAAATTTTGTTGTATGGTCAACATAATTTCACTGGGGGCAAATCTTGTCTTACTGATTCTTGTTTTTACTTCTTTGAAAAGGTTACTGCTTATGTAGTTGAGGGTATGGGTGTGAATTGATGTATCTGGATTTTCAGAAAACATTTGACAAGTTGCCACAGAAAAGGCTTGTAAAAAACAAAATATCTCTACAGGTGTGGCTAGATGGAAGAAAGCAGAAGACTGTTATAAATAGAGTTCAGTGAAACTGGATTAATGTCAAAAGCAGGGTAATTCTTGGCTCAGTCTTAGGACTTTTGCTCTTTCTGATTTATATCAATGATATAGATGAAGGAATGGTCAATAAATTACTTAAATTTGCTGATGATATTAAGGTCTTGGATGTTGCTGGCTGTGAAGAGGATGTTACTGCTTTACAGAAAGATTTAGATCATTTAGTGAGTTGGCCAAATAAATGGCAGATGGGTTTTAATTATAATTAA